TCTTCTTGTTCATTTTCCTTCTCCTCTAACCACTGCTGTAACCTCTCTTCTTGTTTCTTTTCTTTCTCCTCCAACCACTGCTGTAGTCTCTTGTTTATTTTGCTGTTCGAGCTGCCACTGTTGCAGGTTTTCTTGCCACTGCTGTTGTCTTCTTGTCTCTTCTTGTTTATTTTCTTGTTTTTATTGTTTCTTTTCTCGTTTATTTTCTCGTTCTTATTGTTTCTTTTCTCGTTTATTTTCTCGTTCTTATTGTCTCTTTTGCTGTTCTTGTATTGCTGACATCAAATCTGCTAAGTCGTAGTTTGATTTGCCACTTCTCGTTTCCATCTTGTTTTCTTTATCCCACTTCTGACACCAATTTGTTGCGTATCTGCTTGTTTGCCAATTTCCCGTAAAAATTATTTCCAAGAAACTTCAGCGACACAAGTCCTTTCTTGATTAAAACTAGTTTATTCTTTCTCGATACAACTTTTTTGTAATGCACAGAATTACCACAGTCAATTTAAACTTAACAACCTTTATAACACACGCTATAAATCACAGTGATTCACACACTTTACTTATGGTGCCTACTGTTCGCTTGACTCAATTATTTCTCTGCCTATCTTCAATCTATCTCTTCGATCTATTTGCCCCGCTGGTTTTTCTCGCCAGGCTTATATATTAAAAGAGAGTGCATCCTGAACAAACTCGGTCTTCCCCGATAATTCATGCTCCTTCGAGAAACTCCAGCGCGCATGCTCCCAGCGTCGCGTGACTTCCGCTGTCGTAACACTAGATACTAAATAAGTAATACATAAAAAATGCAGCATCTAATTAACTACTTAATAAGTAATATACAGAAAATTCAGCGCCTAACTAAATCCTACACAAGTAATATATAGAAAATGCAGCACCCAACTAACTACTAAATAAGTAAGGATAGTATGAAAAGCGAAGTTAATTTATTGTTTAATTGGAGCATGCAACTCACTATATTTTCACCAAGATTAGTTAAGATTTCACCCTTTTACTAAGGGTTTTAGGTATCCAGGCTTATTATTATCATAGATATCTTAGGCCTTAAATGGAAATATCAAGCCTAGTAGTAAAGTAATTTTTTTTACAAACTGAAAAAGAGTATCCGATCAAATTTTGGTTAAATATACAAGAGAAATTAAAAAAATAAAAATTATTATATTTCTTTGAGTAACAAAGTTGATGATAGAAAAATAAACTTATAGCAGAACATTTTCCCAACTAAATTCTCAGTTTATTCAGTTTAAAAATAGAAAAGAGAAATTATCAAAATAATCAACTGAATACACACTTGTAATTTAGATGTTTATAAAGAAAATGTCGTCTTTTGCTTTGAACCGCGAATTATTTATAAATCTAATTAACATAAGTTTCGAGAGTACTTTTATATATTTGTATATTCAATTAACACAATCTCAATGTGCACGATTTCTAATTTTATTGTTTGTATCAGTCATTGTGTTTTGTATTGAATTTACTAATTTTCGCAATAGTTGTCTCTTTCGAGTCTAAGTAATCATGACTAACAAAATACTTATGAAGCAATTCTTGGTACATATAAGCTCAAAAATACGAGTTAACTTTACATAAACTACGAAGAAATATACCTGTATCAAAACTTTTCTTTAGTAGTAAATACTGAAATATATAATAGTAGCTCTAAATTAATTACTACAAATTTAATTAAAATATTATTTAACTGAGTTTAAATTAACATGGAATTAGATCACAACATAGTATACATTAAAACAAATCAAGGAATAAAAACCTTATAGTCAGATAATGCCATTATTGCCAAAGTGATCTTCGGCTGGGTGTTATAAACTCGTTAGAAAAATGGTATTAGATATATTAACCTAAAAACAAAGTATCAAACTGTTCTTTGTATTTTTAGCCTCAGTACTTGGAGGTTCAAGGATATATATCCAAGACCCATGACAACAAGATACAAATGATATTTGTAGACGGAAAGTCAAGCTATGGTAAAGCAGCACAGTTAGCACAAGAATTTGAATCCAGTTTTCAGAAAGGTAATTTAATATCAATCTTAAATTTCAAATGTAATGCCTGGGATATTTTAATATGATACTATAAGATCATTAATTTAATCAGCTACATGACTTAGAATGAAAGATTCCCGCAAAAGAGTTACGTGTTATGAATATCATCATGACACTTTTAACCGTGTGTAACGACAGTTAAACATGATCAGTATTTAAGGCCTGAAGCTATCACTTAATTAGAAAAACAACAATAATTCAGTTTATTTTAACCAAAACTGACAGAAAATATGATTAATGTTACTTACCTACATGTATCCGCTGAAATTCGAACATCGACACAAGCTATGAGCCGGTATCAGGTAGAAAGTTACATCATTACTTGTATATTACACTTTTAAGAAAATTCCTCAGATATTTTACATTTTTTTGCAACACTTTCACCTTAGAGATAAAAAAAATTGACGTTCGTCAAAATAAATTCCAGAAATGTTTGTATATAATTTGAAAGTTTTAATTGTTTGGTACGTTATTAACCAAGTTTAAGAAACAGAAATGATATTAAGAATATTATTCATTATCAGATAAAACATTTTTAGAAAATCATATATATGTAACAGTGGAGTGTGAGGCGGGGTATTTCATTGGATATACGAATCGCAAACATGTGTTCCACGTTTTATTTCAGAATTTTTATAGATATAAAAAATAAACAAATTTTGGATAATTAACTAGTAAGACAGACAGGCATAGCTAAGTAGGAACAGGAAGTGAACGTTTATTTATTGATGAAACATATATGGAACTACATAACAATCTTTAAAAATGTATTAAACACATTTTTTCTGGTATTTAGAAATGTTTGGTGTGACTTCTGTGGTCATGAAAAGGAGTGTTCAGTGGAATAGTGGAATATTTCCATCGGCTCATAAGTCAGGTATTTCCACGTTTGAGCTTCACAACAAAAGTTCAATCATTTTCATCAAAAGTAGAAATATACTAATAATTGCTGTTATGTTTGATTTCTTTTTTTTAAATTGAATTCATAAAGTGAAATACTACAATAATACAAAAAATCATTTCGTGTCTTATCAGATAGATAATAGAGATAAAAGTGAACATGGATAAAGTGTTTTGAAAAAACGACCTTTAAACTTCAGATATATATGAAATATTTTTTTTTATTATTTTAACCAATGTTTCGCCTTTGCAGCTTCATCGGGGTTAATATACACAACTGTTTGATATTAAAATATTCGTTGAATTATAAAACTGCTCGTAATGTTCTATTTCTCGACTCTGCTGTAACGTGCATCTAACAATGTATAGAATATTATCACTGTTTCACTATTGTTCTAATATTATAGTATAGTTATAATATTAACTATGCAACTATACTAACAAGAAGTGTGTTATAGGTCAAACCACTAAGGAGTTATATACATATTTTTAATATATATAATTGTGGATACAACGTTTAGGGCAATGCCTTTCTTCAGCTACCACTAACTCAACAGTAAATCTGTAAACGAAAACATTCTAAATCGAGGTCACGTGACGTGACAATGTAACAAATAAACGTGTATAACAATGCTAACAAACAATTGAAACAATAAAAAGTGATAAATATATATGTACTACTAAAATTCTGAGATTGTTTGTTTGTTTACTTGTCTGTAATTCAATACAGGAAAAACGGCGCATAATATAGAATAGAAATATAAATAGAATATGAGAAATAGGAATATAAATATAATAAAACAAGTTTCGTTAAAATCGGGACACGGATTACCGAGTAGGCGCAGTTTTTCTAGCACGAGTAATTTTACATCACACTACCATTCTGCTCTTTACAAAACTTCTTCGTTCGAATCTATTTCCCTATTTCGTCAAAAGATGGCAACGTAAGCGCAACAACTTTAATATGTTTATTATTAAACAACATACAAGCTAATGTAAATACAGTGTGTGATATTTAAACCATAGTTTAGTGGTGTGAGATTCCTTTAAAATGTGAAAATTATTTAGAATAATGTCTTTAACTTGTTTGTTGTGTGTGTGGTATGTGAGGGTAATGGGCGTCCTGGTACAGGAGATTTTAGGGTTTGTTTCCGTGAGAGATGAAGAGGAGTTGTGGACTTGATTTACAACATAGTTGCGAGCTTTTTTCAGAATGTTTTTGGAGTAGTCACGATCAAGAAAAAACTATTCCTATTCTGTTGAGCAGACATTGAAATCATCAGGTTTACTACACAGTTTCCGTAGTCTAATGAACTAGGAGTTTGGGATGTTCTTTTTCATATATGTGTGGTGGTTAGAATTAAAGTGCAAATAGTTGTGGGTGTCTGTAGGTTTATAATGAACACTGGTTATTTTATCAGAAGATATAGAAAGAAAAATATCCAAGAATGGTAGTGATAAATCAGATATGTCATGCATGTAAGATAATGAAGGATGGAAGTTACTTACGTAATGAATAGACATAGACGTTTCTTGCTCGATCAAGGTGCCCGTGAAGATTTCTACAATATCATCGATATATCCCTTGTAAAGTAGGGGTAAGGGACCATCATACTGTGTAAACATGTGTTCTTCGATATATCCAACAAAAAGGTTGGCAAAATTGGAGCACATTTTAATTCCCATAGCTATGCCACTACCCTGTTCATATAATTCATTGTTAAAACAGAACCCACTGCATTTTAAAACTAGTTCTGCTAAACGGATCAAAGTATTAGTGGGGATTGAAGTTCATTAAGTTTATCAAAAAAGTGTCTTAAGGCTATGAAACCCTCCTGTTGTGGTATTATGGTGTATAATGATTTGATGTCCATAAAAAATAAAAGGACCGGGTCTGGTTTGGGGTTAAAAGTTGAAGAGTCTACGGGCATGAAAAGTGTCCTTAATATAAGTTGGGAGTGAATGGACTAGGGGAACCATTACGGAATCTAAATAACTGGAGATAAGTTCAGTTGGAGCATTACAGGTTGACACAATGGTTCTACCAGGGTTGTTGGGTTTAGGATTTTTAGGCACTAAATACAATACACCAGTTCTAGAGTCAGAAAAAGGTAATATTAAATTTCTAGCAGACGTGGGTAGTTTCTCAGCATCAATCTATTCGTTGACAGTGTTTGTGATGACTTCATGATATTTCGGTAATGAGTCGTCCCAAAGCGATTTGTAGGATAGTAAATCACTCAAATGACGTGACGCTTCCTGGAGGTAAAGATCCTTACGCCACACGACTACAGTTCCTCTTTTATCTGATGGTTTGACAACAATATCATCTCCAGAACGAATATTTTGCAAGGGTTCTTCACAGGTGAGGTTGTGCTTAGAGTTTCGTGTTTTGAAGTTAAGTTTGTTGATCTCAGTACGACATTTGTCTATATATTTATCAAGTGGTGGAAGTGATTCACTGGAAGGGATCCATATGCTGAGAGTGTGTTGTAAGTTGCAAAAGGGGTCTTCAGTGATACTGGTTTGTGTGGTTTCACCATTAATGTTGGTGCTATTTCTATCATGTTCTGTAAGACAGTTTTTATTGGTTTCACTTGAATTGTTGGTATGAAATAGGCTTGGATCCTTAAGCGTCGAAAAAATAGTTCGCAATCACGTTTTGAGTAAAATTCACTCACGCTTGGCCGAATGTGGACAAATTTAAGTCCCTCATTCAGCATGGATCTTTCTGCGTTTGTCAAGGTAATGTCAGGGGAAATAGTTACGACATTGGTTTTAGTGGGTGTCTTTCTCTCCGTGAAATTATTTAACGTGTTATCTTCTATCAACGGTGGCTGCAAATTGTTTCGATACACGATGCTGAAATTCACGAGTTTTTTGTGTTTTTTTTTACATAGAGAGCAGAGCAATAGGTAGAGTTAAGTTTTGTACTGTAATATACACTTTTTTGTGGTACTTACATCGGTTAATTCATACAGCCTCCAACAGTAGTAACACAAGTCTTCCGAGTTTCTATTACGGTTGAATGAAAAACATTTAATGATATCTTTCATAAAAGCAACTAATGTTTTATATAGTCTGTGATTAACTGTCATAAAACATTTACGGTCTTTAGCACTTTGTGGCGTAACGAATTTTAGTTTGAAACTGTTACTAATTACGCGTTTCTTTAAGCACTTGGATACGAAACTTATATGGTTAGAATACCTGGTTTTGGAAAGAGTTGAGCGAAACAGATTAATACCGGTTTCAAAGATGAGAGCCGTTTGCGACTGTAGTGATTTCATCATTTCAGAACGGAGTTTACTGTAAACCAGCGTTTCCCAAACTATGGGTCGCAAGCGGAATGTTAGT